TGGGTTGTTTATCCTTTGTCCGATCTTTTTCTAGGTACTTCGTGTGTGCCTACGTGAGCACCTTCAAGAAGCGCCAAACAATCGATGCCCAGTGTATGATCTGTTACAATGTATGGTAAGGTCTATGGTCTCTTACAACGCTGAGGACAACCTATGTGTTCACGCACACACACACACACACAAGCCCCCCCCACACACACAGTGCACACACACGGACAGTCTCCCATCTGCGTGTTTGTGTGCGCAAAAAGGACAGTCTGTGTGTGGTTAGTGTGTGACTCGGGGTGAGAGAGAGGGGTGCTTGTGCGTGCATCTCACACACACACACACACACACACACACAGAGAGAGAGAGAGAGAGAGAGAGAGAGAGAGAGAGAGAGAGAGAGAGAGAGAGAGAGAGAGGTCTTGTTTCAAGCTTATAGAGGAAGACAGGAACAAAAGAAGGAAGTCAAGGGCACCATATTTCCTGGATTTGAAACACTAACAACAGCCTAGTCAAACTTCCGGTCAACCTTCTGATCAAAGTATGGGAACGAGAGAGAAATCGCAAATGAAGCGTGAGGCGGCCCCCTCATTTGCCGCCAATCTATGTATAGAAAAGACGGAGGGACGAAAAGACGGAGGCATGAAAACAATAAGGGGGAGTGGGGAGTACTCACACTAGAAACTTTTTCAAGTTTTGCTAGTAAGCTCTGGACGTGATTGCAGTCAGATTCATCCAGGTCAGGTGCTGGTCATAATTGCAGTCGGATACATTTGCTAAAGTTCTAGTGTGAGGACGCCGTGAGATAAACATGGATGAGGTGCCAGATAGGAATTTAATTACGGAATAATTCTAATGACCAATCCTCCAAAGTTCCAAACATCCAGTTTCATCAAATGTATTTTCTACTTACCAACTAATTACTTACTATTTTCCTTTTTTTTTTTTTCCTTATTATTTTAAATACTTGTACTAAACTGTTTTTCAACTACAGGAGGACTCCATAAAATCCTCTTATTTTTAATTTTATTTTTCCATAACACTCTTTAAGCAAATAGCGGTCCTCGTGTAACGCTCCCGCGCAAGGCCGCTGTCCACTGTTGGGAAACGCAGTGGGACCGGCGGGCGGGCCCGACAGATACYGCCTACGTCTTTCGGCCCGGGCCGAACCGGTGAGAGTCGTCGGGATTGTCGAGCRGGCCTGCGTTGGACGGCCCGATAGAGTTTTCGGGATCGGCGCCAGGCGATTCCCGAAACTTCTATCGGGCCGTCCAACGCGGGCCCAATCGGCGATCCTGCTTTTGCGTTTATGTGCAGCTTCCCGCCGTGATGTTCAGCTTTGCTGTTTCAATCGCTTTGCTGTGCTTGAATGGGACTCGATTCGACGATACGTGTTGCTTCCCGTGTTGCTTCCCACGGTGATGTCTCGATTCGCTG